TCACACCCAGACGCTGTAGAGTTAAAACTGAGACGTGCTTCTTTCTTTATCTGGGTGAACTGCGGGTGCCTTACTTAGAAGCTCAAGATTTCCAGCAACTGAGGCCACTTCCAGTTTAAAACATCAGAATATTTATTTTTCAAAGTCTTTGACAGACTTGGCACAGCTTGTAGAAGTTACAAACACAAACAGTCAACTTGTGAAACCATATGGATGTTCTATTCTTCCTTGTTCCTTTCAGTTGCTGGGTTGACTTCCCCCAATGGTAGAAAATCCTGGGACACTCTACCCTAGCCCTGAGCCACTATGGTTAGAAAGAACAGGCCTTTCCCTATCTGAGCTCAGAGCTAGCTTGGGGATGAAGTAACAGAGCCTCTCTCAATGACAGAGAAATCCAGGGATATTCTCTACCCCAGTGCTTAGCTGTTTTTTACAGAAAGAGCAGGTCTTTCCCTATCTGAGCTTAGCACCAGTTTTAGAGGCGAGAGTGTAACCGTACTCATGATGGCTTGTCCGAGCTGCCTAGCTTGACCATCAGCACATCTGAGGCTTTTTCTAAACTGAAGAAGACAGGGGAGATTTCTCCAAAATGAAGATCTCATCCCCAGGAAAAAGGGCGGTCTCTAGACCCAAAGAGATACTTTTCTAAGCCAATCGCTGCAAAAAGGCTTGCAGGCTGGCTTCCAGCCTCTGTTAATGCTTAACTTTCAGGGTGCTGCTGAAACTGTAGCAATCCTGGGGAAAAAGCAAAGGGATGCTATTTCAAGCAACAAAAGGGCAATGCAAACCAAGCTCCTGGAAGATGGCACAAGAACACTATTTTACTGCCATTATTTATACTGGGACTTCAGCATCCATGGAATTTGGTATCTATGAGGAGTCCTGGAACCAAACCGCAACTGATACTGTGTATAAAATTTTATGTATGTGGCAAATGAGATATTGTGGACATTTTCTGGTGTAGGCTGACATTCAGCACATATTGCCCAATTTTGTTTCCACTGCGATACTACAGAAATTGGTAAATCTGACAAAGAGTTAGGAGTCTGAGAACAGCACTAGATTCACACTGTTATTCATTCCTCTCCACACTGAGTAGTCTTTGGCAAATCTAGATAAAATAAATATATATGCCTGTATATTTTGTATGGTTGTATACCTATAAACAAACATATACAATATATTCTCCATACCCACATATTCTGTATCCATAGATTCACCCATCTTCAGTTTGAAAATGTTTTTTCCTTAATTCCAAAAAGCAAACCCAGATTTTTGCCCTTTCATATACAAGACACCATTTCACTAAAACACTGGATATAATGGGATTTAAGTATGCATGATTTTTTTTATATCCATGGGGGATATGTGTGTATCATGAACCAAACCTCAGTGGGTACCAAGAGCTCATTGTACGAACTATACAGATGCAAACTTTTACAATCTGTATTACAAATAGTAGGAAATAGCATTTTACTTGAAATACAAGTACATGCATCCTATCACTTGCATAAATATCACGTATATCACTTATGATCTCTCAGAGAGCCTGGACCTAGCCCCCAACATGAAACCTCCTGGCCCCGACTTCCACAGGAGAAATCTTCTTTTAGTTCCACCATCTTCACAGATATGATAGATGGGAATGCAAAAATAGGGTATTCTCACTGACTGCCACTAAACTCCCTTTCCAAGAAGTTTCTCAAATGGCTCCCTTCTATCCTACTATCAGGCTTTTAGGAGCTACGATTCTTAAAGAAAGGTCTTTATGAGTGTATTGTATTGCTTTTATTGAACGGCTGTTAACTCTTTTAAAATATGTTTCTATTTTAATATTATGAGGAATTTGATTCAATTTCAATATAACTTTTGCATATATTTAGCTATGTTATCACTGTTTTAAACCAGGAATCACATTGAGTCCCAATTTGGGGGGAAATGCAGAAACAAAACAAAACAAAACACAGTGTGTCCACACTAAGTAGTAGAGGTGGGGACCATCCAACCCTGCAAATTATTTCCCAGCCATCTTCACCACTAAAGCTAAAGGTAAGGCATGCTGGGAGCTGCAATACCAGAACATATAGAGAGTCACAACATTCCCAATACATCTATATATAAGTATAGAATTATATCTATACGTAGTCACTGATAGATCTACATATGTGCTTATTTTGAATCAGGACACTAGCCCAGTTGTGATTATTTTGGCAGAAAAATCTCCAAAATCTCAGAGGTAAGGTAACTTTCCAAACAAGTCCACCACTGTCCACCAGAAGTACAAAGAAGTGAACTTGGGAATCAGGCAGAAGTTGTGGGTACTCTTCTACCAAGGACTCTCCTTAAAATACTCATTATTATTGCCATCTATTATTGAAGATATTTGCATATATTTCCAACAGAGCTTACAACAATGTTCAAATTAAATATACCCATTGTTACAATATAAGCACAATTGATTTCAGAAAATAAGGAAGCTATATGTGTGTGTGTGTTTGTGGGACAATACATGTTACATGTGTGTGTGTGTGTGTGTGTGTGTGTGCGTGTATGGAGTATAAATATGTGAGAGGAAGTCATAGGGAGGAGGGAGCAAGCTTGTTTTCTGCTGCCCTGGAGACTAGGATGTGGAACAATGGCTTCAAACTACAAGAAAGGAGATTCCATCTGAACATTAGGAAGAACTTCCTGTCTGTGAGAGCCGTTCAGCAGTGGAACTCTCTGCCCCGGAGTGTGGTGGAGGCTCCTTCTTTGGGCTTTTAAACAAAGGCTGGATGGATTGTTGTAGGTTTTTCAGGCCATGTGGCCATGTTCTAGAAGCATTCTCTCCTGATATTTCACCTGATATTTCATCCTCAGAGGCTGTGGTGGCCATCTGTCAGGGGTGCTTTGAATGTGATTTTCCTGCTTCTTGGCAAAGGTTTGGACTGGGGTTGGAAAGAGACCTCATCTTAAGCATGGGGTCTCTTTCAACTCAAGGATTCTATGATTCTATGACTTTAGAAAAAAAGATGGACAGTCACTCAGCAGCAATGGACAAGTTTTGTATGTCGGACATTTGGGATGTGATCCATGGAATTTTCCTGATTATTAAAGTCACCAGCAACATAAAATGAGGTGGAAAATCCAATCCAGCTTTTAGTCTGACTTTCAAAATAACTCTCCAAAGTGCTGAGCCAAACTTCAAACCTGTTTCAGCACTTTGCAGAACTCTTTTAATGTTCATACTTAAACTCTGAGCATATTCACGATGCCACTACAGGTTCATACTATACTCTTAACCTCCCATTCCCAAACCCAGAACTTCAAACCTGTTTCAGCACTTTGCAGAACTCTTTTAATGTTCATACTTAAACTCTGAGCATATTCACGATGCCACTACAGGTTCATACTATACTCTTAACCTCCCATTCCCAAACCCAGAGCAGAATTTGATTTTTGTACTGAATTGCAGTTTTCCTGGTCATAAAATGTGCAGACATGAGAAAATGTGTGGAAAAATAGAGTTTTCATGTGCACAAGGTTTCAGAGACATTTGGGATAACTTTTCAAAAAATGTTATATGGAAATGGAAGAGAAAGAACTTTTGCTTAGAAAAATGTGGGCATTACAAAAAGCAAGATATATAGTTTCATCCATTGTAGATACACAAGAGGATAATAGCTGGATTTTAAGGAGAACATATATCATATGCACCTGCCTGGAACTCTTTCTCACATATTAAATTATGTCTTCTACTGAGAAAATGAAAGTTTCTGAAGAGTATTCAAAGTGATCTTCAAGGATAAAGCTATTTTAAGAGGACCTAGCCATCCAGAAAGATCAAAAGCAGTGGTAAAAGAAGACTTCCGATACTATGCATCTGGGAAGCAGAGGAGGAAATACGACATTCAGAAAAAAGCCTTTGGCTCATCAAAAAAGGAAGGAAGGATAGAAGAAACAAAAACTCTTGCAAATCAAAAGTATGGGGTTTCGGGATCTTTGAAATGCTGATATCCTCACCTAAAAAGGGGAAACATAAATTGTACTGTGGTTTCAAAGGCCTAAAGGCTGTAAAGGCACCAGATCCCACCTGCTCATGGAAGCTAAGCAAGGTCAGTTTTGGTTATTACTTGGATGGGAAACTATCAATGGATGTCAAGTGCTGTAGGGTAGATTTCAGAGGAAGGAACTGGCAAAAACATTTGGATATTGTCTAAGAAAACCCTATGAAACCAAGCTGACAGGCAGCCTGAAGACTGGTTTCAAGACTGCTATCCTAAGCATGCTTGATGGGATGCTTTGTTCCAATAAAACAAAAAAAAGGAGTGTAAGACACTTACAAATTTCCCTCCTAATACATTAATCAAAGGTTGCAATAATAGAGTACAGTGGTTAAAACAGAGAGAAGGAAAACCTGGCACACTGGGATGTAATGTTCTTGCCTATGGCACAAATTTCTTTTGCTGTTCTCTAGAATTAATAACTGGAGACAAGTGACTATTTAAAGCACTGGCTCTCTGGGGGGCTCAACTCTGGTTTGCAACCTAGGAAACAATGGCATTGTGGCTTATTCTCGGTAGACACAAAAAGAAACCATGCTTGGCAGGAAAACAGCTAAATACAACCAACTTTGTTTTGGATCCACCCCATGCCCTTTGCACTGCTGGTATTTTCAATGTATAATGCTGAGAATACATTTCAGAAAGTGAAAATTGATTTGTGATTAAACTGTTTTAATATCCCATCCATTATCCAAAGGTGTCAGGAAAGTGTATCATAAAACCAATCTAACAGTTAAAATATATGAATAATTAACATAATTTTAAAAGGATAGTAAATAAATATTAAATTAAAATGTTTTAAAAGGCATTCTAGCCTAAGGAGCCATTCACAACACAGAGTTGTAGCATTGTATATACCCCACTTTAACTGTCATGAGATCATCATACAGAATGACAGGGTTTTCTTGTTCTTTTAGAATACATCCTTTAAGAAGACGCCACCGTCACCTGAGTTACCTGTCTGGGCTGTTCTATCACCCGCTGTGGATCAGACTTCACTTTGTTATTCGGATGGTTGGTAACTTTGGTCACAGGCTGTTTAAAAATAGACGCTGTTTGTCGTATTGGCAGTGTTGTGTTTAGATCTGGTTTTCCCTATTTGGGAAAAAAAGAAAGTAATTGTTTATTTCATGGTGAAGCAGTTAAACAGGTCAGTCTAAGAAGGTGTTACAGGGATGATAATTAGGCAACCATTTTTCCATATTTTTCTCCTGAAAACTAAATGCATTTGAACAAACAAACAACTGACACAATACACAAAAGGAGGGTTATAGATGAGTTTACACAAGGACTCACAGCCTCCTTGCAAGTTTCGGAGATAGCTTCAAAAAGTTAAGATCTACCTTGATGTCCAGGAAGCCAGTTTTTTTAACATTCAAGATTTATGGGATTTTTTTTTGTCTTTTACAATGCAAAAACGTTCCAACAGAGTGATGCGGTAGCTAAAAAAAGTCAGTGTGATTCTAGGCTCCATCAATAGTTAACATCAATACTCCACTTAAGCATTCTTAAGTATTGGAATCTCGGGATATTTATTCCCTTCATGACTTGCTAACATTTGAGTAGGTGTTTTTCCAGCTTTAAACTGAAAGCCAAGTTCACACTGATACACACATACATCTTGGTATATTTGGCTTCCTTTGTTATATCTTATATGCTATAGATTGCACTAGGGGCACATCTTTGAAGCCCTACATGGTTTGGGTCCAGGTTACCTACAGGATCACATTTTCTTGCACAATCCGCCCTTTAGGGCACTTTGATCAGCTGTCAGAATTTAAAACACAATTGATGACCCAATTGGCAGGCCCAATCAGTCAATTTTGATTTATATTCTATTGCTGCCATATGTTACATTTGTATATTTGTTTGGTGATTATTTTTATATTGCTGTGTTTCTATCTATGTTTTTATTGTATGTATTTTATGTTCTTATGTTTTGACTTTGTTGTACCCTGCCTTGAGCCATCAGGAGAGGCGAATAATAAGTAAAATGTATTATTATCATCATCATTATCATCTAAATTATAAAATTAATACAGTTTGGCACCACTTTAATTGCCATGGCTCAGTGTTAAGAAATAATTGGAGTTATAGTTTTACAATGTCTTGAGCCATGTTTAGCAAAGAATGCTGGTGAATCACTAAAATACAACTCCCAGGAAATTCTGTACCGTACAAGTATATTCCCAGGCATCAAGAGGTGGCATTGAACACATCTGACCTGTAATATGGGAAACATACATCAGTAAAGTGGATCTCTGAACAAACCTTATTTTGATTTAGTGAATCATTCCTCAATCTCTGTTTGTTCTTCTGTAGTTTACTTGGCATCATCTTCCCTGTCCTGAAGTCAAAACTGCTGAGATCAACAGTATTCCCCAAATATCTTGCCAATTGGGGCTTGCTTCGGAACTTCTTTCCAGTTGGACTAAAGATTTAATGAAAAAGAAAAAGGACAAGAAGAAAAATAATTAATACTTCTTCATACACAGGGAAATGAGCCCTTTTCAGATCGGACAAGAATACAGATTGAGAGTTCCTTATCCAAAATACTTGGGACCAGAAATGTTTTGTATTGCAGATTCTGGAATACTTATATTTGCATATAATGGAACATGGAATGACTGATGATGCAATTGGATTACGATTTTAGTAAGGAGATGCTGAGTATTTGTTTTTATAGATATTATTGTTTCTTTTATATTACATTTTTAATGTTAAATTGTTTTTATAATTGTTTTTATAATTGTTTTTAATTGTACTCTGATATTTGTTATGGCATCGAATCGCTGATGACTGTGAACCGCTTTGAGTCGCCTTTGCAATTATTTACTACAAATGCAGTAAATGAATGAATAAATAAATATAATAAATAATGAGACACCTTGGAGATGGGACCCAAGTCTAAACATGCAGTTGATTTTTTCTCCATATATACCTGATACACATAGCCCAAAGATAATTTTGTACAATATTTTTAATAATTGTGTCTTAATAAACAAGTTTGTGTACTCTGAATTATCAGCAAGAAAATATGTCACTATCTCATTCACTCACCTGGAACATGACACCAGAGCAACACCAAAGGCACTCGAAGTGACCAGCTTCTGGTCAAAGGAAATTAAGTATCATACCTAGTTTTTAATTTGTTTATGTTTTTATACATTATAACTGTATTCTCAATTTGCTTGTGACATGATAAATAAAATAAACAAATGCAGAAGATTTTGGAGTACTTTGGATTTAGGAATATTTAAGATAAAGGATGCTCAACCTATACTATATTTTACAGCATTGGTTCTCAACCTTCCTGATGCCATGACCCCTTAAGACAGTTCCTCATGTTGTGGTGGCCCTCAACCATAAAATTATTTCTGTTGCTACTTCCTAACTGCTATTTTCTTACTATTATGAATCGTAATGTAAATATCTGCTATGCAGGATGTATTTTCATTCATTGGACCAAATTTGGCACAAATACCCAATATGCCCATATTGGAATACTGGTGGGGTTTGGGGGGGGGGTTATTTTGTCATTTGGAAGTTGGAGTTTCTGGGATTTATAGTTAACCTACAATCAAAGAGCACTCTGAACCCAGTCCACAATGGATCTGCACCAAACTTGGCAAACTACCTACATGGCCAACATTGAATACTGGAGGGGTTGGGGGAACAGCTGATCACAGAAGGAAGGCTTTTGGTGGGAGGATTTGCTGTCTGTTTCCAAAAAGGAAGAGAAGGGCAGGTGGAGACATCTCCACCTTTCCTGACAAATGGGTACCTAAGACCATCAGAAATATGTGTTTCCTGAAGGTCTTTGGTGACCCCTCTGAAACCCCCTTGAGACCCCCCCCCCCAGGTGTCCTGACTCCCGGGTTGAAAGACGTTGGTATTCACAAGAAAAGACAGGGTATTCACAAGGATTCATTTTATCATCCTATTTAACTTCTATTCAGAAAATGCCATATAGACAGCAGGACTAGAATTGGAGGGAGGAGTTGTGAAAATTGGGAATTGACCATTAACAATAATACTGCCAGAAATATAGAGAATTGGAATATCTATTGGTGGAGGTTAAAGAGGAAAGGGCAAAAGTAGGGTTATCATGGAATATTAAGAAAAAATAATGGTCACATATCAATAACTTGCAAATGATGAAATGACATTATTAAATATTGTATACTCCTTGGCTCAATCATAAATCAAAACTGTGACTGTAGTAAAAGACTAGCATTTAGGAGAGATAAGACCATCAGGCATAAAGATATATCATTAAATACCAAAGTCAAAATCAAATGTCTGTCTTGTAGGTATTAAAGCAAAACTGGACAATGAAAATATGGTGCTGGAGGAGAGTTCTGGAGGTACCATGCACTGCTAAAAAAGAAATGAGCAAACCAAGCCTGAACTCCTGCAAGAAGTCCAAAATTACTAAACTGAAATTATCAGGCTCCGATCACATCTTGAAATGATATGACTCACTGGAAAAAACAATGATGCTCAATAAAATGAAAGACTACTATAAAGACTGATAGTTTCAATAAACTGAACCCATAGTCCTGAGTTTGTAAGACCTGAACAGGGCTGTCAGTGACAGGAGTTCATAGAGATCTCTTATTCATAGGGCTGCCATATGTGAATGTCAATTTCATGGCACACAGTTGTCAAACTATACTTTAAGGTCAGTAAAGCATTACAAATGGGGCAAATAAGTAGTGCTACATAAGAACCACCTATTATCTTTGGTTTTAATTGTAGATTTCACATCTGCTTTTGTGTTCTTTCCAGAAGTTTCAAAGCCTATCAAAATGTATCTTAACCTAGTAAAAAGTGACGTAATCTCAAGAATCACATATACATTGTATACATGGCCCACTACGCATCCAAATGCCATCAATGCCACCTTCATGAATGCTCGGACACACCATTCTTCGTTTCAACCCTTCTCATTTACTGCACATTTGATGACGGGCAACTGAAGATGTGAGAAATGCTTGGAAAAATTACTTTTAGACTGTTCCCAGAAGACGCTACCCAAAATGTCCCAAGGGCCATACTGAAAAGAGATTTGGAAATTTGTAGCATGAGCCCTGGAACTGATGTCATGGAGCAATGCTACCTTTGACTTGGTGTAAAGAGGCTTGAAGGGTATGGACAAGTTAGAACATGTCCAGAGAAGGGTGATCAAAATAATCAAAGGTTTGGAATCCAAGCCCAATGAGGAACAGCTTAGGGATCTGGTAGGTTGAGCTTTGAGAAAAGAAGGCCGAGGGGAGACATCATAGCCATATTTAGATATTTGAAAGGATGTCACATTGAGGAGGGAGAAAGCTTGTTTTCTGTTGCTTTAAAGACTAGAACACAGAGCAATGCATTCAAATTAAAGGGAAGGAGATTCCACCAAAGCTTTAGGAAGAACTTCCTGACAGGAGGAGTTGTTGGTCAGTGGAATATGCTGCTTGGGTGTAGTGGGGTCTCCTTCCCTGGGGGGTTTTAAGCAGAGGCTGGGTGGCCATCTGTAGGGAGCTCTTTGATAGTCTATTCCTGCATGGCAGAAAGTAGTTGGACTGGATGGCTCCTGTGGTCTATGATTCAATGGTTCCATGGTGATTCAATGGTTCCAGGTGAGTGTAGCAGATGTTACAGAATCATAGAACCATAGGATCATAGATTCTATGACAACAGTCCAAGATTACTTTTTCACATGTGCTGTGTTTGGACAAAAATAAACACAGAGATGTGAACTAGTTTTCCCCTTTACTGATCCCCCAGCCCAACCCAATCCCAGCATATTACAAATATTCTAAAAGGCTCCATTTTAAATAAACAATTGCAGAGTTTGGTTTCAGAAGTGACCACCCAGAGACTAAAGGTGGTAGTTTATTCTCTCTGCAAGCCTGCTCTGAAACTTTGGCAAAGCTGCATTCCCTCACACCGGATGAGGGGGTGTCGTGGCTTTGCAACGTGGTACGAGTCCTAGGCTAAGACAAGAGTCAGAGTGAAAGTAGCCACGTCTTAAAATAGAAATTTTGAAATGAAACCGCTTGCAAGTTCCTGGCATGCCTATTTGAATACCCCCAAACCCTTTTCCCCAGTTAGTTGCTCTGACTAATCCATGACAGTTTCAGAGGACTCTCTTATTTTAGTCTAGAAACAAGGACCCAATAACCCACATTCAATATATACTCAAATCAAATCAAAAACTTTATTATGGTCATAGACCAGCATAGTTCAACATATACAAGAGCTTAAATTCCCCAAGTACGATTATGGTCCATTTCCTCTTTGACTGGCAGGAGTCCATGCCATGGCAGCTATTTCCATTGAGATCCACAGAAATTGGAGGGGGGCACAGGACAAAGCAGCACATTACTTCCTAATCCCTAATAGTTATAGCATGCTGCTGCAGTTTGCTTGCTTTCGTGCTCAGTGTGATAGTGTTTTACATCTCACAATTTCTAGAAGTACACACCGGCCAGCATTAAAAGACTATCTAGACTCTGCTATTTTCACAACACACACACACACACACAAACCCTTATGTAGTGGGCCCTTGCTATGTGCTGCAGTTTGGTTCCAGGACCCCCTGTGGATACCAACATCCATCCCACTATATACAGTTGGGACACTAAAAATTGTGTCCTTTAGATGAAATGGGACAGAAATCATGGCTTGCTTTTGGAATTTTATTTTGATCCTTTGAAGCCATGGATACAAAGGGACACAGTATTCAAAGCAGAAAGCTAAACGTAGTCCAAGAAACATGGAATCCAAAATCAATTTAGGGCAATAATTTGACCAAGCAGATCTGAGGTCTCTTTAGAAAGCATCACATTTACTAGATATCTTCATTAAGGAAGAGGATGAAGAGATGAAGCTTGGGGAACTGCAAAGGGAAGCTAGTCGATGCAGGAATCATTAAATCTGCAAAGGTCAAAAATATAATACAGGATAAGAGAGTTTTGCATCTCCTTCCGCCCCTTATTTAAATCACAATGCTCTTATGCACCTATTGTATTTTCTGACAAAAATCCCAGCACACTAGGAAACACAGTAACACTGGCCTATATTATTGCAAGACTATCATACAGCACTTCTCAACAAAAGTGGGCTACATTGCTGACATAAGATAAAGCCTCTAAGCCACAGCTTCTTTGGTACAGGTATTATGGACGGTATTATGAGTTTTATCTGCATGAATCAGCAGGCACTTTTAAATAATTTATTTATACGCAAAGATTACAAGATACGGTGTTAAATTAAACTTGAGCTAGAAATATTCAAAATGCCTGGTTTTGCTTCACGTGTCCAATCGAGCCTCTATTAAGATTCCTAATACAATTGCTTCTAACCTGAGGAGAAAAAGACAAAGAATAATTTTAAAAATAAATTGGGTCCCCATACTTTTTGTTATTACAATATAAGGAA